AGGGCTTCCGTCGTACGTTTAAACACCAGCGTTTGAATAGACACAGGCGCGTAGCATCGTTTTTGGAAGACTGAGAAAAAAAATGAAAAAATGACAAGCAAAAAAAAAAAAAGAAATTAAAAGATTTAGCTAACTTTTTTCAAGAAAAAGACACATTTGATGGCAATTTAGGAAACTTCCATTTTTAGCTAGCTTGTGGTCACCGTGGTTCAATTTAAAAAAAAAAAAAAAACTTTAGTTTTCCATTGTTTTGAATAAACTTTAATATAATAGGTCAAAAAATCAAATGAAAATTGTGACACGCAAATGTCTCAATTAAACATCATTTGCGAAAGTTTTGCGTTATAAGGCGAAAAAATTATTTTAAACCTACGAAGTGAGCTAGATAAGCTTTCGTAAGATTCAGAGTAAAGAAGAAAACATCAATTGACGGAATGAAAATTACTGCGTTTTTGCAGAGTGCTCAGAATACAAAGCATACTCTTGGTAATACATGTAGTAATATTAACATATACATGTATTCAGTTGTAACGCCATTTTAAAATTGTACTCATTTGAGTTCTTTTTGATTTTCAGAATAGTTAAACGAGGAGGGGGATACGTGAAAAACTTTACGGCATTGAGGTAGGATTTTTTTTTCATATTTCTTGTACATGTATTTGAAAAATTCATGAAATTTTCACATAATCAAGAAGACAAGATCACCAAGTGATGGTATCAGTGAAAATTTGACCGTTTTATATTAAAGACAAGGTCAGGTCACGGTCATTACCTTTTTCCTTGACATGAATAATAAAAAAAATCACTGTTGCCAATTATTCTCGCAATTTGCCGTTGAAGAGCCCATTAGCGATAAAAGTAATCGCAAAAAAGGAATCTACAGTATGAGACACAATTATGTGTCTTTTATGTTCTTGAGTGAGCGTCGACACCTGTATGTCTTTGCACACGGGTGACAAACAAATATTTTGCCTTCCACATTAACATTTTCTTCATGATAAATGGATAAGGAATCCATATTCTTGTAAGAAAACAAGAATTAAAACACAGAACAAGCCCTTTAGTTTAACCCCTCTTTGGTACCCAACTTTGAAATCCCGTTAGGCACAGTAGAATTTATTCATAAAAATGTGATATTTCATTGTTATTTCTATGTAAATCTTTAACTTTTCCTTAAAATGAGCTTAAAACGTTTTTTTTTTGTACCCACCATTTTTCCAAGTCGACTGAAATGTCCAGAAGTGTTAGCACAATCCGTAACGCTCTCAATAAGAGTTTTGCACTAAAGGGGAAGCTAATACATTCTTACAACCCGTGCTCATATCGTTTGGCTCCTAAGATTTCTTTAACAAAGAATTTTTACAAAAAGTATCTGCCTCATCCAAAAAATCACCGCTTTGCAGTTTAAACCATCTGGTAAATACAGTAACCGAAACCTCAATGTTCCCCTTTACAGGGTGGTACTTTAGAAAATATTTTCTCCGAAGTCCGTTGACTTTGTCCCAATTTTAACGCATTTTTTAAAAAAAAAATTCAAAGTGGGTCATTTTTTTTCAAAGCGTGTGCCACACTGCCACTTAAATTGTCTATGATACATAGGTGTCGTGATAAGAAGTATCATTATGATAAGTGAAGTAATGAAAAAATCTCGATGCTTACAAGAAAAGCGTAAATCATGTCTTTTGGTGCATTTTTGCATCTACATAGATGTATTCTTGTATGTCGAAACTTTTATATTATTTATTTAATATATTATTATTTAATATACACATTTATACATCAGTTTGTATTTTTTTCTTATATTTACGACCCTTTAACGGAGCATACCCTGAAGTGTTTGAATGTTATCAAACTCAAGTACTGTAAAACCACATTTTTTATGGTGTCAAAATTTCGAGGTTTGAGAAAAACTATTGATGTGTGAAGATTTGATTTCGTAGTTTGAGAAGTGTTGAGTAACAGAAAAAAATGCATATTTAATTTTTCATTTTGTGATGGTAATAAATTAGTGGCTCTCCATACATCGAATACAACTAAAATTAAACACCACGAAAATTAGTGATTTCACAGTATTTATCATTTAAAATTATTCCTCATATCTAATGTCCGGTTGAAATTTGTCTAAAATAATTTCTCATATTTAATGTCCGGTTGAAATATGTCCTTATTATATTAATTTTCTATTTAAATTGTTACAAAGAAAAAAGGAATAATACACTTTTTAGCAGTTATGCAATACAAGGTAGCATCATGCGTTAGGTTTGAAGAAAACATCATGTGATGAAAAATACCTTCAAAATGTGTAACCGAAATGTTAAAAGTAAATGTTTGGGTTGGTCCCTCTTCATTTCACAACGAGTACTGCATGTTTCAACATCGTAATCTTGGATAGAAAATATGAGCGCGTCACTGATGCATATCTTGCCATCATAGTTATCAGTATGTGTGCATATGATTTTTGTTAATGACTTTCCCTATATGGATTGTTCATTTCATTATGTAAGTTTTTCTCTTTAATTAAAAAAAATAATTCCATGGCAAGAATAAAACTTCATGCAAGTAATATTCACTTTGTGAATCAAACACTACTATCATGTGTAAAAGGGGGACTCTGTACTACGCAGTTCTAGTTAAATAATTAAAAAAAATATGCAAAGAATTTTTATCAAATTAAAGAAGGTTATTAAAAATAAGATCAAAGACATGTTTCTATCTCAGTTTTTATTTGAAATTAAACAACTTCAGTTAAATAAGTAGAAGTTATGTAATAACTTTTAAAACTCAAATTGAATGAGGACGATCGTCTTTATAATATCAATAACGACAAAATAAAGTTCAAAGAAAAAGTTGAAGCGGCCAGCTAATTCAATTCAATCCAGAACAAGCGGTCGAAGTCGGGGCAAGATATCCCAACACTGGGTTGGGATTTGAAAGGGCACCAGACCAATATTTTTAGGTTCTACGAATCTCGCTGCGATTACAGCGAACACGAACTGTTAATAATAGTGAAATATTGTTGCTTTTTTTTTATATTATTACTCTTAATTTTCTGGGGGTCGTAACATAAAGGTTACTTAAGTCTAAGACCGTGCTTAAGTAGGACTTAAGTACAGTCTAAAACTTAAGACCGTAACTAGAAGCATGCTATGATTTGACAATCTTAGCAAAACTTAGGCGGTCGGAAAAATAGAAGTGTATATTTAACTTTCTTATACATCTATTCAAAACTATTTTATGCTGACTTTCGGTTTTAAAGCATTCCTCTATTCATATTATGCATTAAAGAAAATAATAATTCCTAGATTAAATACTATTATGAGAATTTTTTGCGTCGGGGTGGGGGGTGGGGGATTACTGATCAATGATTTCACTATAACTCTCAAGATATCGTACATGAAAATGCAAAATTTAATTTGGGGGGATACCTCTGAAATTAGTGGGCCATACCTAGATCGGTAAAAACACTTATCCACTAATCATTATAAGTAAATTGAACACATACAGTAATAGTCTAATTCATGGATCTGTATGTTGACTTTGAAAATATGAGATGAAATAGATTTTTAAACATAGAAAAATGTTGGGGAGTAAGGGGATGATGACCAAAAAAACTAATAAAGAGTGTCTGTAAATTAAAATAAATGTAGAATAACAAGCGCATATTTAGAGAGGGTTTCCTAGAGTTCGATCGATTGATTAAGAGACAGAGCTAGGTGTGTGTGTGTGATAGAGAGAGAGAGAGAGGGGGGGGGGTAAATGGAAAAAAAGATGTCCTGAAAGAATTTCCTCTCTTGATGTAATTGTAAATAATTATAACTACTCCAATCTTTGCTTGCTGACATGGACTGAACTTTGCCCCGGGGGGGGGGGGGGGGGGTTGCACTTTTTTAGAGTTTTAATTTCAAATAGACAGACGTTCGGTTATTTTGTCATGTCTACGAGAATAACAAAGCAAGTGAACATTTGTCAAAACAAAAGAACAATCAACGGTAACTGAAAACATTTCAGCTTCGGGGAAAACAATAGTCATACATATACAATGAACCACAAATAACCGTTTTGTGACCGCTCAGTATTTTTTCTTAATCAAATATGCAGTGTATTTTACAGCAAATTAATTTATATCTTTAATACTTAATCTTATCTTACATAACTAAAACGATAGGTAAGGACGTTAACCTTTATAAATATTTAATTAAAATGTAACCGAATCATTTGTAGCAATATATCTGAATTAAATGAAAAAATATAGGGTGATTCGTAAAAAGTATTTTGAACATAAGTCTGACTTAGCTAAGACCTCCCTAAGTTCGCTTTATGTTACGGTTTAAGACATACTTAAGTAGAACTTAGTCAGGTCCTAAGATTGTGCCTAAAACGTACTTATGACCCTACTTAAGTCAAAAACTTAGCAAGCTTTATGTTACGAGCCCCTGGACTATAGCTTGAAATGCTCTTTTAAAGCTATATGAGCTGCATTTTTGCTGTCGGAATTTTTTTGCTATAAAATTGTTCTTTACTATTTCAATTACGGAAAAATATGAATGTTTATGAATTTCTTTTAGCCATATTTGCGATAAAAGAACAATTTTTAAGCTTTGGTTAAAGCGGAATTGCATTATTGTAATCCCGTATATCATTGATATTTCTCGTATAATACTATATATTCGATATTACAGAATTTTACTTTGAATTTACTTAACTTAAGTCTTATTGGTCAAAAAGGGTTAAATTACATATAAATTATTCTTCATAACACATTTCTACACCAAAATTAATTTCTCAAATATGCAGCTCATAATGCTTTTACATTTAAGTTATAATATTAAACCGACAATTTTAGAAAATTCTACTTTTTACCGTATCTGCTACGTTATTACTGATCATGAGTTAGATAACTTTTTTATTTTTTAAAGAAAAGGGAAAATCATTCTGAAAAAAACCCACATGTTTTCATTTTTTAGTGCGTAAGTTATATTACAGAAAGTATCCATAAATTATTGATCCTTCGTTTTACAGTGTTAATTCAAGGAACCAACAACATGGCTTCGCAACCAAACCCTAGCGACCGTTCTAGATTTGCTAAACTTGGAATGGCAGTACACGAAGAATTGACCCAGGCTTGCAGAGATGTTATAGAAATGGATGTTTCTCCTGCAAATCTGCACAAAAAAATGAAAGCATCTTCAATTTATAAAATCTTACGCCCCTATCAAAAATTACGACTTTTACGCGCCAAAACTGAGGGCTATAAAGAATTTGATATTACTTTATTGTATACATTGATAAGAAACATAAGTTCAACGATTCCTCTTCCAACAAAAGGTAAATGGGGTGGTAACACAATGCCGACAGTAGGAGAAATAACGATCGGCGATGACATTGAGAGGATAAGATGGATAAGAAACAACATACTTGGACATATAAGCTCAGCTTCTTATATCTCTCAAAAGGAGTTTTATAACACGTGGTCAACCATGACTGATATTTGCCATAGACTGCAAATATATACAAAGAAAGACTACATGTTTGGAATGAGTAACATTCAAAGACAGGCTCTAGAAGAGGAAATCGAAAATGCTATTATTGAAAAACTTGAGGAGGATTATAGATATAACCTTTCTCTAATGGAAATGTTGTCTTCTGAGGAACAGCATGTGCTAGAATTGCAATCGAAATCCGACAAGAAAGGTGATTATTTCGTATACTGTCATATAAATTATTTACTGTTTTGGGTATGTCGTAGAAATCAATATTAATATAAAACGCATTTTTAATACTTAGATTTCCAAATGTGTTTCCTGAAGATTCTTCGCAAATTAACCAGTATTTTCCCTAACTACCATTTATTAAATACCCTAATTACCATGGTCTACTTTGGCCTAGCAAGAACATCTCTAATGCGACGTCATAATGCTTGACGTAAGATTGATTGATTGATTGTATATAGTTTAACGCCCCTCTTAAGAATTTTTCACTCGTAAGAATGACCACTTGCGGTGGAGAGCTGAATATTTTATCCCAAACTCGGTACTCATAGCTATTAAAATATTGAGCAGGGAGGGATCAATTTCGTGCCAGCACCTAATGCGACACAGGATCACGATTAATACGGACTCATCTGAAGGAATGGTCTTTACATTTCACAAAGGGATTTGAACCGGCGACGTAAGGATCAACTCCTTGCTTCGCGACTCTAGAGCAGACGCTCTAATCAATCAGGCGGCTTGACGTCTGATTTCAAAATAAAGTGCAAAAAATTATTTAAAAAAAAGGAAAAAAAGAAAAAAGTATAAATGGCATAAATGTCTGGCGTGTCATCAAAAACAAATCAAGTTCACGTTAAAAATGTATGCATGTTAAAAATTGCCAAAATCATGAAAAACTCTCTAGGCATGCATGGTTAACACAGCGATAAATCAGATTTCAACGGTGGATTTTGATGGGCTCAAGACCAATATTTTTAGTCTATACGAATCTCGCTAAGATTACACTGAACACGAACTGTTAATAATAGTGATTTATTTTTGCTTTTTCATATTATTATTACCCTTAATTTTCTGGACTATAGCTTGAAATAGAATTTGAAAGCAATATGAGCTGCATTTTGCTGTCGGGATTTTTTGTTGTTGTAAAATTGTAATTTACTATTTCACTTAAGAAAAAATATTAAAGTTTATAACTTCTTTTGGCCATATTTGCGATGTAAGAACTATTTATAAGCTTTGGTCAATCGATGTTACAGAAGTATTTCTTTTGAAACAATTTCATACTTTATTTTAGTCTTATTGATCCCAATGGTTTAAATTACATACAAATTTTTCAAAATACGAATTTAAACATCAAAATAATTTTCTCAAATATACAGCTCAAATTGCTTTAATATTTAAAGGCAGATTTTTTAAGCACCGCCTTCAAAAATACTTGGTCTGGGTTGCCCAGTCAATCAAGTGCATGAAAGTATATAATTGGATGCTGGAACTTGATTGACATTAATTTTTACTTACTTGTCCCTGTGTTTACCCTGTACATCTTGTTTGGCACTCGTGGGGACCTTTAAATTAACTTTTGATCCTTTGATGTTTACCGAACATGGTATAGAGAAACCGTATTACATGTACTATGGAAACTTTTAGCTTGATAATACAGTGTATATAAATTAAATATTATATATCAAATTCCTAAAAATACCTTTAGTATTTGAATTGATTATGATAAAAAATGCATTTAAAAAAAATTAAACTTTGGTAAAATTTTTTGAACACGAACTGTATCAATTTTAAAATGATAAACGGTAAACCTAAATTTGAAATGTTATTGATTAAGTTCATAGTCAACACTGTGTGATTTTGATTTTAAAATATTTAGAAAATTAATGATTCTAATCATATATGAATTACATATTTTCCTTTCTTATTCAGATAAGAATTTATAAGCAATATTTTTTAGCATGTTTCATAGTAATTAAACCTTGTTAACTAGATTTTTAAAAATGAAATGAAGTTAACAGGGCTATCTTTTTGTTTGATAGATGGGATCTATGGATGAATGGGGAAATTAAGTCTAATTTGATTGTTACTGGAGAGTTTTTTTTTTAATTAACATACACTTAGTAACATCTAAAATAATCTTTGTAAATATTCGAATTTATTGTACAATATCATAAAAATTTTTAATGGGTAGGGGTGTTTTCAAACATTTAAAAATAAATCAATATAGATTATTGAGAAACTATTTACTTCTAATTTAAAATTTCTCAAAATCCCTAACACATGTAAAGTTTGATACCTGGGGTATTTCACGGTGTATTAAATAACTTCCTGTGTATAGGAATTATGAGACAGATGAACACAGGTAGACTGCTTACCCCGAAGGCATTCAAACCCAAAATATTTCCCTCACCAAATATACCACCCATAAAAAATTTAATGTTTTAGTTCTGATATTAAACTGGCAATTTTATAAAATTCTTTTTTACGTTATCTGTTAAGTTGTAACTGTAAAACAAATCTTTTTATTTTTAAAAGAGAAATCATTTTTGAAAAATAACCCCACAAGTTTTAATTTTTAGTGCATAAATAAGTTACAGAAAGTATCCATGAATTATTGATCTTTCGTTTTACAGTGTTAATTCAGGGAACCAACAACATGGCTTCTCAACTAAACCCTAGCGACCGTTCTAGATTTGCTAAGCTTGGAATGGCAGTACACGAAGAGTTAACCCAGGCTTGTAGAGATGTTATAGAAATGAATGTTTCTCCTGCACATCTGTACAAAAAAATGAAAGGATCTTCAATTTATGAAATCTTACGCCCCAAACAAAAATTACGACTTTTACGCGCCAAAAATGAGGGCTATAAAGAATTTGATATTACGTTATTGTATACATTGATAAGAAACATAAGTTCAACGATTCCTCTTCCAACAAAAGGTAAATGGGGTGGTAACACAATGCCAACAGTAGGAGAAATAACGATCGGCGATGACATTGAAAGGATAAGATGGATAAGAAACAACATGCTTGGACACATAAGCTCAGCTTCTATCTCTCAAAAGGAGTTTAATAACACGTGGTCAACCATGACTGATATTTGCCAAAGACTGCAATTATATACAAAGAAAGACTACATGTTTGGTGTGGATAACATTGAAAGACAGGCCCTAGAAGAGGAAATCGAAAATGCTGTTATTGAAAAACTTGAGAAGGATTATAAATATAACCTATCTCTTATGGAAATGATGTCTTCTGAGGAACCAGAATTAAAATCAGAATCCGAGAAGAAAGGTAATTATTTTTCATATTGTCATATGAAATATTTACCGCTTTCGATATGTCAAGATGTCATGGAAATTAATATTACAAGTAGGCATAAATCTGACATAACGCATCTTTTAATATTTGCATTTCCAAATATGTTTCCTTTGTATTCCTTGCTAATTAAACAATATTTTCCCTAACTATCATTAATTAATAACACTTATTATCATGATCTACTTTGGCCTAGCAAGAACATCTCTATTGTGACAAAGAATTGTGCAAAAAATAAAAAAAAGAAGAAGTATAAATGGCATGAATGTCGGGCTTGTCAGCAAAAAAATAAATAAATAAAAAAATAATAAAATGAATACTAGATATAAATTTAATCCTTCAAAATTCTTTTTAAAACACGAATTACAACTCTCAGTAAAGTGGGAGCATTTCAAACCCTCCTAACTTTGGTAGATAAATATATAGAAGAAATAGGAGAAAAGTCGATTGGTATTCCATACCACCTTAATACCGAGTATAGGTCTAGAATTTGCATCCCTATGTATTCAAATAATATTTCAACTTTCGCTGGCGAGATATGCAAAAACTTCCTACAGATTTCATTAGTCTAAGTGTCAACAAAAGTTATGTTACATGTTACTTGCATTAATTGTACCTCGAGAGACAGAGTTCTAGAGCGTCCTTTTAATTTTGTTTAAACCATACTCAGTCAGTTTGCTATTAAATACAAGGTGAAAAGAGGTGAAATTCTGCAGAAGATGATGGAAGTGCAAGTTTCTTGTAAGATATTCAAGGTGAAAGATGCTTCCAAGGCATGTAATAGAGGGATGGTTGGGGTCCTACTGTTTCACCTTCAATAGTTTGCTCATGTAAATTATTTTAAGGAAATTACTATTTAAAGGCTTGGTTGCCCCTAATTTTTGTTGCAGTATGATGATCATTTAACGTTTCTTGTGAAAATGAGAGCGCCCCTCCCCCCTTCTAAAAAAAATAGGGGATCAGTTTCCGAATTGCTTTTTTTTTTGCTATTATTGACAGTCATAGGTTTTTCAGGCCTTTAATCTATATTTTTTTCGCTGTGAATAGTTTTTTGTTTCTGACTGTTTCCTCGTCGTCCCCTTGTGATACCTTATGCCTTATGCATGGTTTCTGTGCGAAAATAAAGCATCAATTATTTTTACTTCAAAAATGACAAAGATATGTTAAAAAATGTATAAAGCTCTAGAAAAT